TTATCTGCTTTATTTGAAAAAGCCGATATAGTCATCCTCTATGTGGCAGGTTGAATGTGGTAGATGAGATGAGTGGTTTTCATATTAGTGGCAACTCTGGAGGATGTCTATTTCAGGCATAATGCAAGCTAGATTCCTCCATATTTCTTATGCAGAAAACCTTAAAATACTCATAAGTGTTTTAAACCTGTGTAAAGGTGGGACCCAGCCCATATTTCCTTGAAAGATGAGCTAATTATATGTTGCCCCTGAGTTCTGCATTCAATATTCAAGTATGTGATGTGGACCTACTACATGTAAGAAATGAAAGCTGGCACCAGAGAAGAAAAAAACATTTCAAAACACTTCAACATGATACTTGGGGACTTACGTTCCCTTAAGGAAACAAGTTTATCTGCTTTAAGCACCACTGAAATTCCTCTTAGGAATACTTGGTGTAGGTAAAAGTTACTTAATTGATCAATTACACAATAAACATGTGTAGTGGATCCCACACTGTGCAAGATATTGCCAACGAGGTGGGGAAGATTCAGAAGAAATATTAGATGTAGTTTCTCATCTCAAGCAGCTTACTTCAGTAATAAAAAAAACCCTCCCGTTCATGAAAGAACTGCTAAGTAAAATAAGGCAAAATATAATCAAGTGCTAATTGGGTAGTGTAGACACTGTTAAAGAAATTCAGATTTAATTGGCTGTGATTATCCAGAGGGGCTTTATGAAAGGCACAAATATAACTTGAATATGGTCTTGAAGAAAGGGAAAGCTTTAAACTTTGATTGTGGTTGGAATATAATCCCCATATGGCAAATGTCAAATGACTAAAGAGTAAACTCTTAATATTTGAAATAATAAGTGAACATCTAACAAATTAAACACATTGACTTCACTATATCTTTTTTGGCATGGAAAGATGTTCATAATAAATTAACTATGAAAAGCAGATTTTAGAATAGCATTCTGTAATATGATTCCATTAGTAGAAAATAAAATATATGGTAGGCATAGAAAAAAGTCTAGATAGATATATACTAAAATGTTAAGAGTGGTTTTCTATATGTGATAGGATGATGGGTGACTTTATTGAAAATATTTTTGCATTTTCTTTTTTTAATTTTTGTGCAACTGTTGTGTTCTATTTGTATAATAGTTAAAAGAGATCACATTGGCTTCTTAAAAACCACTAAAATGAACACTTCATAAAACCAACTATAATAAAAGCACACATACACACACACACACATACACACACACTCACACACCATTTTGAAGAAGGACTAGAGAAGAACGAGTAAATAATTAAGCAGATAGAGTGGATGATATATGATGACAGACTTAAAAGTTGATCCTTCAGCTTATGGCATAAGATGGCAACATGATCCAGGTCTATACAATCATGAAGCTAATTGGAAGATCACAGATTTATTCACAAATCCCAGGCAACAGAACCGAGCATTGGCCCGTAAGGATTGAGAAGTAAATTTAGGACAAATAAAAAGAAAGGCCATGCTCTCACAGAAGGCAAAAAGAATTGGAATTTGTTATCCGAGGGATGATATAAATTGAAAATATACATAGCTTCAAGAATGATTAAAATTAATAGAGAAAAGGTTCATTAAAGGTTGGTTGTTAAGCAAAAGCCAGAAATGTCTAGAGTCTGTGAGATATTCAACATATTTAAATGGTAAGAGTGGTAGAAGAAGCCTGCATTTTTGAAGCTCTCTGCCAGCTAGTAATTAACCATTTAGTTGTTGGACTGTTGGGAATTTCTAGGAAGCAATCCCTGAGGAGAGGTTGGGGTATCAGGAAGGCACTCAGGGGGCTCTGGATAATAATTATCAACCAGAAAAGTAGCATTTCAATATTTTAATAACAGGGGGATGGGAGCATGAGTGTGTGTGCGGGGGGAGGTTGAGGGTTAATGGGGGGGGGATAAGGACACATTTGTAATACCTTAACTAATAATAAAAAAAAATGGAGGAAAAAAAATAAAACATGCTATATTTGAAAATAAAAAAAAGTGAAAGACAAAAAAAAAATATTATAAATTTTTCATGTTCAATTTTTTATAAGTGAAATTAATTAACATTGGTTTGGAGCCATATTTGAACTTTTGCATTAATTCAAATAAAAAAAAACAGTTATGACTATACTAATGCATATTGGCTAAAATTTAATCCTGTCTGTTCCTTTCTTCTGGGATAGACTTGAGATGTCTGATAGAGGCATATTGAGATAGACTACAGCATGGCAATGGTCTTAAGAATTGGAGAAATCAAATTAAATCTTCAGATTACCAAAAGATTTTTTTTTTTTTTACCTCGAGGGCTGTTCAGTGAAGCTTCCGATGCTCTCCCACCATCTCCACAATGACTCTGGTCAAACGGAAGGCACTGATCACCTGTTCCTGCCACCACTTCAAAATTCTTAGTCAGATCTTTTGTTTCCACAAGAGATTTCAACTTGTAGACTTTTCGAGTATTGGTGTCTGATAGATAAAGTGATTCAGACATAGGGTCCATAGCCAGATAGTATTTGTGAGCAGGACTTGTGCTAAGGAAGAGAAAGGTAAAGTTATTCAAAGAAATTTGTTCAGTATACAACCCTGGGGGCTGCCTTTCATCACAAATGGAAAATTCTCTTAACAGATGAAAGAATTCAAGTACCTTCCTTCTTATGTACTGAGTAGATGGATACTTCATTTTTCTAGTAATGGATCTGAGTATAGAAAAATTCACTGCCACTGCTAACCTATAATAATGCTGATATTTCAATACCATCCATTGTGGGTAGAGGAAAAAGCAGAAGAGAATAAGTCCCAGGAGGTCATTTTTTCATACATACCTTTCATACCCAGTTCTCCAAATACCCACTAGATGACTGCCTGGATGTCTCACAGTCACCAATTCCCAAACATGAAGTTATTCTCTTTTCCTGCCATTCCTATCCCTCATAAACCTACCTCTCTTCCAGGCTTCCTGACTCATTTGCAGACACTATCATCCTTCCAAGCTCCTGTTGTAAACTGATACTTTATTTTGTTACTGAAATTGTTCTAACTTTAACATTTGGGAGCAGAATTTTTATTGGCTGGTGTGCCCCTTTGACATACCCCCACTAGTGTGGGGCCTTCCTTCCTTCTTTCCTTCCTTCCTTCCTTCCTTCCTTCCTTCCTTCCAATCCTTAGCACTTCCTTAGTTTTGGGAACTACAAGATGGTCCAGGTTCATCTTATGTAATCCCTGTCCCAGTATTACAATGAGTCATTTCTCTAAGGACCCCTGGTTCCTTTTATTGGAGAATGGTATTGGAAACTGAGATCTGGGTGCTGGGCATTAAGCATTATTATTTTCACATATCTCTCCTGCAACTACACTGTTAGCTCTTTGCAGGTAGGAACTGTATTCATCTATCCCTAGTGCCAACAGAGTGTCTGACAGGGTCGATGTTCAGTAAGTGCTGAACTAAACTGAACTGAAGGACATGAAACTAACTAAGACATGGAAGAGTTCAGGCCTTGGCTACTTGCCAAGCAAAATGGAGGGGAGAGGTCATCGGAATAATTAAGATATCCTTAAGGACTGGCATGTTCCTGATTCTATTTGTAATTGTATTTGCCCTCTAAGCATATTTATGCATATGAAGGATAGTAAAGGCTTGCAAACACTGATGAAAGACCCAGTTTAGAGTGTTAATTGGCAAAAAATCAGATCCAATTGGAATATTTGATTTTTTTCTACTTACCTTCATCAAATAAGAGAATCCGGTAGATTCCAGGGACATCTTCAACCCTGGAACCACCATGACAGCTGCTGTAAATAAACTTTAAAGGGCCCCAACAGACTCCAGAATTGATTTGGCAGTCATGTCAGACAAGGCATCTCTGTAGCAAAGACTGCTTAAATACAGGTTTGAGTAAAAGTGTTTACATATCTGGTTGAATTTTTGCCTTCAGAATAAAATTTCTTCAGTGCCCTTATATCTTTCTAGACTAAAGGAGAAGGGTCACAACCCTTCCTGAAAACAACTTTCAATACTTCGGTAGCCTGTTTATGGAAGTTTCGCCTAAGCCAGATGAATCAGGTTTTGTTTAGGAAAAGTCCATGGGCTGTTTTTCTAAGAGAAGTGGTATTTGTACAAACGCACTTTTGAATGTATTACATGCATTTATTAACAAATACTCCCAATGTGCCTGTGAGGGAAGTTAGAATCGTCATTCTCCTCAAATCTCAGCTGGGGAAACCCAGACACACAGAGGGCTTGCCCAGGGTCACTAACAAGCCTGTGCCTGGACCTAGAGTAAATTAGATCATATGTGACCGAGAGTACAAAATACCTTCAGAATATTCTGGTTCTACAGGTGGCAAAGAAAAAAAATCAGTGTGTTCTTGCCTTCTTCTAACTGAGCAGCATATCCTATTTAGCTGAGCTGTTCTTAAACTTTGTGCACTGGCCTTTAGAAAATGGAATAGCCCAACAAACCAAATTCAAATCTGATTAATGTTATTTTCTTGACAGCCAACAGTCAGGAAGGTCTCCTATACTGATATGTCATTTCTTACTATTTCATGCCATTTCCCAAGCGTACTTCAGCTCTTTTTAGATTGGTTTCTTTTTACTCTCTGAAAACATGCCAAATCTAGCAAAGAAAAAACACTGGACTAAATTCCAATTTGTTCGAATCCCTCATGTCTAAATGCATATTGCAATTTGGGATATGTGAAGATTTCTTTTATAACTTCATTGTTAGACTTACTGTCACCCTCTGGTTAGTTTTACATTTGGGCAACGCCCTTCAACTGAACAAAAATCACTTCATTCACGCTAGTTAAAAATCACATAGATTGTAAAATGGGCAATTAATGCTTATAATTAATACTATGCAACACTTTACCAGTAAGCAATTTGACAACCAACCTAATTTGTTTAAGAAATTAGTTATGCTAAAGTAACAAGGCTGAGTGTGTGCACTGGCATTTAGGAAGTGGCATCTTCCCAAACAAAATCCAAATTAAAAATCCTATCAGTGCCATTGTGATGACAATTGGCATTCGGAAGTGAACAAATTCAATTTTCTCCTCGGTAATTTCAGGTAATTTAGAACAGTTTTGACAAGTGTAATGCATAAACAAATTGAACAGAAATACTCATTATGATTAATTTTGGAGCTTTGTGTCATTGTTGGTAAATGGTCAGTTTACAGTTTTCCTGTTATTTCTTTTTGGTAAGAAGAACTAAAAATCACGAGGTCACATAAAAGAAAAAAGGAAACATCTTGTTCAAGAAGATCATGTGGTCACTGTCTCTCATTATTCTTATCAACTGTATTTCTGGATTGAGGAAGCCTGCTGCATTCCCCCTCTCTCTACCTGCAACTGGAAAGCACTGAAGCTATTGGAACATACAGTCTCAGTTGTGATATCACCCAAGGAAAAAATGAAGAGACTTAAGGCCTTGCTTTCCCCTAAAGTGCTGAGCAACAAGCTTTCACTTAATATCTTTTCAGTATATTCTGGTCCTCCAGCAAATTCCCACTTAATGGCGTTCTCTTCTTTTGGAAGAAACTTACCTGAGTCAGAATTTCCAAGTTCACTTTCACATTACTCCTTTAACTTTAGTTAAGAAGTAAAATTTCCCTGTTAGCACATTATTAGGAAGTGGCCTCTTAGGCAAGAAGGGGCATTAGGCAGCTGCCCATGTGATTTGCTTACCTATGTCTGGTGTCTCTGTTTCTAGGGTGCACAAGGTATCCACGAGTAGCAAGTAAAAGCAAATAGAGAGGCATCAGTATCATTCAACAGGGCAAATCTCACCAGACACACCAATCCTAACTCAGCTTGTGGCTGTCAGAGAGACTCTATGGGGAGGGATCATTTAGTCAGATATGCAAGCCTGAGTGGACCCAATCACTGCTGGTTCTCCTGCTAAGATGGTATCAAGGTGATTGAACATCCTGTTTGGTGGGTGGGCAAAGCGCTAAGGCAGTTTTTGCAAAAAGCCCTCTCTGGACCATTTTTATCAGAATCACTCGGGCTCTTGCCATGTGTGCAGTTTCCTGGGGCTCTCCTAGTCATACTGAGTCAGAATCTCGAGGTGGGAGAGGAACCTGGGGATTTGATTTTTAACAAACTCAGCTGGTGATTCAGACACAAAATAAGGTTCAAAAACAGCTGGGCTGAGGTTTCAGGAAGTAGCCACTGCAAAGGGCCTGAGCATTCTAGCTTCTGATTTGAAAGCCACCTTACCAAAATGCAAAATCCCTGTTTTATTACTGGGTCTTGTGGGACATTCCAAGATTACTGGCATCCCAAACCAAACCCTAAGACACTTATATGACCTCAGAGATAAGATGAGGACATTACTTGTGCACGTTAGTACATCACTCAGCAATATTAAAAAATTAAATTTAAAGTATAAAGGTTTTCTCTTAGACCATGACAGAATGTCACCGGCATCAAAATAGCTTCAGTAAAATATCATGTATATCAACTACTAGGTCCTTGTGTGTTCCAGCTGTTCGAGCTCCAAGGGGCAACTGCAATGGGTGAAACAGCACTATCAGGTCAAAAGAAGCAGAACACGTTGGGGGCCCCTGATCTGTAAGCCATTAGGCATAGGGTATTTCACTCTGGGATCTGCTATGAGGCTTCTCACATAGGGAGTGCAGTCTGACAAGCCTGACTTTGGGTCAAATCTGCCCAGATTTAGAAGTCTATAATCATCTGTGAAATATAGTCATTTTAATTTTAAAATCCTTTTAAATCTGGCCCTTTATGTCACTTGGAAAAACACAAAGATAACAAATCTTTTTATCTAAACTAGAAAATATTCTTATTCTTCAGAACATCAGGCAAGAAGAAAAGACACAACATGATTTCATTTGAAGCTGTCTGCTACTACTAATTCAACGCTCTTTAAAGACAATATTCCTGGGATTTTACTAGTTGGGCCACAGGTCATGATCCACTGACTTTTCCTTTTCTCTGGCCTGCCTCAAAAGGGTATGTATCCTGTGGGTTGACACAAAAGGTCAAAAGGTAAGAAGGGGATCTCTGATTAGAAACCTGGCCTCAGGCATTTGAACCTTTTTGAGTCTCTTTGTCTCTGGGCACTTGCTTGTTTTTGTGGCCTCTACAATCCTGGTTGAGTGTGCTGGAGGGTGGTTTTAATCACTGTTACATGGTTGATCCTCCTGGAGGAAGCTGAGTTGTGAAAGTACTAGAAGGAACTCATTAAAACATGATTTTACCCACAACATATTCTCATGGTACAGAATCATCTTAGGTGATAGCAAGGAGGGGGGAAAGGGATGGTTTGACTTTTCAGCAGCTGCTTCTGATCCTGCCAATAATGTCACTCTGAATTTGGAAAGATGTCCCATATTATGCAGAGCAGCTTCTCTCATTAATATCTCAGAAAGAGGAAGTGAAAATGATGGAATTTATTTCCAGTGTGTGACCTTGTTCTGTCTCAGAATTACTTTTAGTTAAGGATTTAGCATTGAGCCACCACCAAAGTCGGTCTGCTGTCTAGCTAGCAACTGACTGCATGCTGAGGTGCCAGTGTGTGAGCTCTTCACAAGGGCCTTGGCCCATCAGTGGCACTGCCACTTGGCAATTGACTGACTTGAAGCTTGCCATGAGTTAGGAGGAGAAAGGAGTAGAATTACAAATCTTTTTAGAACAAGGAACACTACTGATGGTAGGATTTTGAAGTTGATCTTTGATTTTGTTCAGTATCTATATGATTAAAGGAGCCATTTATACTTTTGTAATTAAAAAAATAATTAAGATATAATTCATGCACCATAAAATTCACCCTTCTAAACGTACAATTCAGTAGTTTCTAGTACATCCATAGAAATGTGTAAGCATTGCCATCATCCAATTCCACAACATTTTCATCATCTCCTGAAGAAACCCTGTATCCATTAGCAGTCACTCCCCATTCCCCACCTACCTCAGCCCCAGGCAACCACTAATCTATTTTCTGTCTCTGTGGATTTGCTTATTCTGGATAGTACATATAAATGGAATAATAGAATAGGTATACTTTCACTTAGTATGATGTCCGACCTATTCTTTTTATATTTTCGTGACATGGGAGATGGAGAAAGAGAGACTTTGCCAACTTTGAAGTTGCTGTCTAGTGACCTGGAATCATGAGAATTTGCCTGGCCTGCTCAGTGGTGGCTGCAACATTTTACTTGTTCTTCATGCTCTCCTCAGCTTCTTTCCTTAATACTTAGCCTGAAATATTTAATGTTAAAGAACAGACTTTCCTTCCTGCTCATCCTTCCCTGGCATTCTTCCTCAGAAGACCAAGTTCCCATTCCTGCCATTCACTGACATCTTAGTGCTTCCAATGCCACTACACTTATCTAAGACTAGCCTCCCCCTTGCTCCAGCCCTGTCTATAGCCCTTATCACAACTTACCTGTCTTGTGTTTTAGGATCCTGCTTTCAGCTAGCAGTTCCTTTGAAAATAAATCTGACAAATGAATCCATGCCCAGGGACTAAGGAGGATTTTAGCTCGATGGGTCATTCTAAAAGAGGTTCTTGTGGGAACGCTTAAGAGATACAATGTCTTAACTCAAAGGAACACATTTTCTAGAGTAGAAATTTGGGGCATGTGCAAGGCCAGTGAAGATGTTTTTGGGTGAGTTGGAGGGAACTTTTGAAAGCCACTGATAAGACAAGACATGAGATCACACTGGGGAGGTAACCACCTAGTTAATCTACATGAGTGTTTCTCTATTTATAGCTTCAGTGCTGTTGACAGAAGGATGGTTCTTGGTCATTTCTCAGACATTATCAGAGATCTCAAAGTTGGGGTTCCATTTTATTCTTTAGCAGAGTGCTCTAAAAGTTCCATTGCCCCTCAGCATGCTAACTGCCCCCAAGTAGGTGTTATTCCTGTTCTATTTAACCCTCAGTCAATGCCAGGAGTTGAGACCTGAGAACAATGTAGTAAATATTAACCAGTCTCTGTGTAGGAAAGAGTAAAATCAAGATAAATTTTCATGTTACATTGACATTTGTCCAGTCCAAATTACTCAAGGTACCAAGAAAAAATTGCCAGGCTCTTATTTTCTTCTTTCTTTCATTTTAACGGAAAGGACACAATAAATTGTGGAGATTAACAGCATCTTGAACAATAACAGCATAGGGTTTTTGTAAAGAATAAATCATTTCTAGTCATGCTTAATTGGTTTTCTAATAGATTTTTTTGAAATTAGAAGGCAAGAGGAGAGTAAGATGGGTATTCATATTTGAATTTTTGCAGAGAACTTGATATGTGTCTCCTATTTTTACTTATATACTTATCCCTATTAGATTTAGAAAACTAAAAAGTGTCCTGAAGACCATAATCAAAGGAAAAAGAAATAGTCATAGTTGATGAGAAATAGTTGAAGGACTTGGGCTATTTAGACTGGAGAAGAAAAAGCCCAGGAACCTATGATATCTCTTCATACTGATAAAAGTTTATCAGGTAAAGAGGGACATGGCTTCTGGGCTGTTTCAAACATTAACCTTTGTCACTACTGAGTGGATGTTCCATGAAGGCAGATTTTAGTTCAATATAAGCAACAATTTTCTAATAGAGTACTCCAAAGATTTAATGAGCTGTCTAGAGAACTATTTAAGTTTCCTGTTATTAAAAGAGATCAAACAAAGTAGAGATGATCAAATGTCATGGATGTAATGGGCATTATGTTACACCAGAGTGTCTGTGGACTAGAAGAGTCTCTAGACCAGCGGTTCTCAACCTGTGGGTCATGACCCCTTTGGGGGTCAAACGACCCTTTCACAGGGTTCGCCTAAGACCATCGGAAAACACATATATAATTACATATTGTTTTGTGATTAATCACTATGCTTTAATTATGTTCAATTTCTAACAATGAAAATACATCCTGCATATCAGATATTTACATTACGATTCATAACAGCAGCAAAATTACAGTTATGAAGTAGCAACGAAAATAATTTTATGGTTGGGGGTCACCACAACATGAGGAACTGTATTAAAGGGTCGAGGCATTAGGAAGGTTGAAAACCACTGCTCTAGACTCTTCTAACAGTAAGCTCACAGATCTGTGATGTTTCTTTGGTGTTACAGAAATATGTGTGTGTGTATAAAACTTTAACATGAGAAGCAAATCGCTAGAGATACCTAGACCTAAATTAGAAATGGCTCTATCTTTAAAAAAATCTTCAAATATTGTATTTTTGACACTCATATTTAATTACATGGTGTTATAGCTCTCCTTTTTTATTATCTTACCTCAATTTCCCACCGAAAGAAAGCACTAAGGTATGTACATATGTGTGAAATCTGCAGCGAATAGGCAAAAGGCACTATATACTTAAATAAAAAGAAATAATACTGTTGCTCTTGGCATATTGCTAATGATAAAGCCATAACTGACTTTCCCTTATTCCCCCCCCCCCCATTCAGCCAGTGGGGGACCAGCTAGATGAAATAAATGATTGGCAACCAATGAAATTATTTTTGAGGTCAGATGAAAGAAACTCGGTTGGGGACAGTTTAGATCAGCAGAGCTAAGTTAGAAAAAAAATCTATAGTCTTCCAATTTTTGAAATGTCAAGAAGCATCTGGAATTGTTCAATGGGGCCCAATATAGAACAGAAGATGGAAGAGAAGGAAATCTAGAAGGACATCCTAGAGGAGCAAGCTTTATGTTCTCTCAAAATGTCATCAAACTTTGGGCTGAGAACTATAATCTGTGGATCTTAAAACAAGTGAAACTTTATAAAACATGTAAGAGGATGCTCAAATATTAACTTGAAGTCAATTTTATAGATAGGGAAATATAGAACAGAACAGTTAACTTATATAATGAGTAACCTGACAGAAAGTGAAGACACAGAACATTCTCTATCCCTTTCTGTAATAACTTATTGAAAATATTACTCTTCTAGGTACAGCTATAAATGCAACAAATAACATAATAACTATATTAGTCTGTGTTTCCAAGGAAACAAATGACTCAACCAAGTAAGATGAATTATATGCACATGGGGGGGGCAAGTAAATTAACGGATTTTAACAAAAAATTGGTACAAAATGAAATTTTTATCTATATACAGTAGAACTCAATGAACATTATGGTTCTTAAGATAGCAAAGCGTTATTATATCAACATATTTCTCTCTAGGAAGTTTACATCTGGAAAAGTTATAAAGCAATGGAGAAATTCACCAATTACATGTGAAAGATGCAATGCACACAGTATAAGCTACTGACCAGGATAGATACTTTTAAAGTAACTGAATCTAATAAGCACTATATTAGTTTCTCGGTAAACATGACAGATAATATTTGTTGATATAAACTGGTTTGATGTTTTTGACTATAGTCACACAGTTAGGGAGTTACCTGTCAATTAGGTCAAAATGTTCCTGCATATTCAGTCAATTAATTTCTCTGATGGCCAGTCACAGGAGTGTTGGAGTAGAGAAGGGAGAACTATTTTTTTTCTTCTTAAACCTAATACACAGACTCTTACACATGAGTATATGAAAGGGCTGCATCCACACAGTAGGTTGCTGGGGGAGGGGATGCAGGGAGAGAAGGAAAATATGTGAGAACTTGAAATTACATGTATGATTTTATCTGAATCTGTTTTTTTCTGGGGAGGGGGTCCACAGTCTTTAATACAGGAGCTGGCAAAAATAGGCTTACAGTTGTGAGTACACAAATCACAGAGCTTGTTCTTGTATTATTATTTATTCTTGTATGATATATTTTTCCATATCAACAACTATAAACTTACTTTTGCCCACTCCTTTAGATTCTCAAGGGGTCTGAGAATTTAAAAAAAAAAGTTAAGAAGAGCTACTCTAAAGGATGTTAGCTCAGAAGAGCCAGCTAGGGAGACTCAGGCTAAGTGGGAGAGCCTGGGTGTGTGAGCTCATGGTGTGTGCAAGCCTTTGTGTTTGAAGAGCTGTGACAATGGGAGAAAACAGTGCTGTGGTGTAAGACTGAATAAAGGGACTGGACAATACTTCACACTGCCAGAAACTAATTTTTCTTTGTACTGAGAAAATTACATTGGAATTAGGGTCCAAGTCATTCTATTTTATTTTTCAAATGACTTTGTGTTGAAGGCCATAAGGTGCTTTGGACTAAAATGCAAATTTGTGAACTGTTAAGGATCCTTGACCAAGTAGAATCTCATCAATGAATGACAATTGCTCCACCTTAGGGAAATTTGCATTTAAATTATAATAAAAAGGACTATATTTAGCTGGATTTTCTTTATAGTAATATTTTCTTTGCTTTTATAGGTAATCCTAAGATTTTTTTATTTGAGGAGATGGCGATATAGGATTAGCTTTATAGGGTTCAGTATATAGGCTCAGCAAGACAAGAGCCCTGTCTACCTGACAGTCCCTATCTGTATAACTGGAAACTTTCAGATGGTGAATGAATTGTTCAGTGTTCCGTCCATGTTTGGCATCATGTAGACTGAGCATCTCTAGGATTTTGAAAACAATCTAGAATGTTGTATAAATCATTTCCAAGTCTAGGCGTACAACCATCCTAGCCTTCCTCTTTGGTTTCCCAGTAAGTAGTTACCCAAAGAGATATACTGCTGGAAATGACAAGTCCCTGTGACATCCTGAGGTATATGAACATTTGATTAGGGCAGGTTGGTATGAATTAGTCCTTCTCTAGACTCTATAGATGTGCTTTATCTTTCTAAAATCTTAATTTTACAGTCCATTTTTTTATTAGCCAAGGGATTTAACAGCTTTCTTCTCTATGACAGCGTTTGCAATTCTAATTAAGGAATGTATTAAAACTGGAGTGAATTAATGTGAAAAATAGATGGGGGTATGGGACTAGAAGATTTCCCTTGCTAGGTGTGAAGGACTAACTAAGTCTGAGAAAAGGGAGGTAGATTCCAAAGCAAGCACAAGAATACGAGAAATTTAGATGAATGTCCAAATGTATTCAAATCTCCATGGTCCTGTGAACAGAAGTGTTGAATGAAAATGACCTAAGAATTTTCATGTGCCTTGACTAGCCTTGATGGTGCTCTGTACATTTAAGATGCTCCATCAAAGTCTCTGATCAATGAGGTGATGCCTATGGCAACAATTGTTTAATACATCAGTTTATAGGATGAAAATATAATATAGCATCAAAATCTTCCGGGACCTAGAGAAATTTTTAGCCTGAAGTTCCAAAGATGTATGGCAAAGATAAAGCTGCCACAACCAACTAGAAGGAAGGCTCTACCAATTTAGCTATGGGAGAAGAAACAGGTCTGTCTATCCTGCTGGGATGGAGGTGGATGCTTTCCCTTTCTAGGATTCCAGAAGGCATGTATTTGTGTCTTATAGGCCCGAAGGGATAAAACAAAGCTGATTAAACTATGGTTTACATAGTTCAGGACATTAACTACTAAAAGGTATGAATTCTTTTCAAGGTGTTTTGACTTTGTACTTTCAAGAAAATTCCTAGAACAGTATAAGAAAGTCTCGAGATGAATACTTTAATCATTTTTCTCCCCATTGGGATAGAGCTTTTAAGGGTAAAAAACTCAATCTTCCTTTTTTATCATGCCATGTAAACACAGACTTACATTTTCTTTTATATGAAGTGACCACTTTAAAAAATTGGACCTGAAGAGTTTAGAAAGATTAGCCTTTTGAATCTGGCAACACACCTAGAGCAGAATAGGTATTTCCAATCGGTCTTTGTAGTGGCCAAAAGGGGTTGAGTGACTTACCTGAGCACTTGGAAGTATTGAGATCCATGTCAGTGATGGCAGTGCACACAGGGAAAGCCACACATACAGGGATGTCAACACTTCCTGGTTATCCAAAGCAGTACTCAAAGTTTCCTTCAGGTCGGAGGAGTAGGCATGCTGACCTATGTACTGCATCCCTAATTTCTGCATCTTACTTCAGGGCTACAATATGGGCAACTGTATATCCTGCTCCTGGCAATGCCTTGTCTCTTCACGTTATCTCATTCTTGCTTTTTCTTATCCGGTAAACACAGAGATTAGAAGAGACTTACCTTAATTCCAAAATACCAACAGAGTTTCCTGAGGGGAATATTCGCCTTACAAAATTGAAGTCGCCAACATACACACTACCATCAGGGCCAGAAGCCAAAGCAACAGGAGCAAAGAGTTTGTTGTTGTGGGCTGGGCCATTGCAGTTGGTGCAGGCTACACTCCGTTGGTGTCCATTACCCATTATAGTTGATATGACTGGGGGCTGCTGGGAAATAAAGATATTTTCTCCGTTCCCTTTATGTATGATTCCTAGATACAAGAAAAAAAAAGAGAATAAAATAAAAACAATTACCACACAACATTTTCAGCAACATTTTAATTTTTCTCTCATTGTGCAAAGCAAGAAGGAGCTTTAGCATTGGTATAAAAGAATTTGAGAGTGCAACATACTACTCTTGGTTTTATTGAACTTCAGAGCCACCATAAATAGTACCACAATGCTTTGCCTCAGTTTGCCCATCTGTGAAATGGGTTAATACATCCAGTTCCTTTAATGCTGATACTAACTGCCTTAAAAAAGAATTTGATGACCAACTTGTAATGATGTCCTGTTCACTGTGGCTTAGTTTTCATCTCTGACTGACTTTCTCCTGATGCTGGGCACATAAATGCCTGACTTAAAATTACCCTCACTATGCAACTGGTTCCTGAAAAGTGAGTATCAGTCAATTTTAATATTAACCTTAGCAAAACACAATCAGGAAAGTAATCTACTTCCGTGAAAAGAAATCATATCGCTAGAATGCACTTCAAAGATATAAGAAAGGGACTTGAATTTTCCACTCTTTTGGACCGTATCTATCATCAGTGCAGGAAATAGAGATACTGACTTATGAAAATGCTGGAAAATCCTGTGAAATCATTCTCTTTGGGTAATCTCTTCTATTCTCACAGCTTTAACTCCCATCTCTACATGCCAAAATTTTCTCCTGTCCAGAGTCTCACCTGATGTGCAAATACCTACTATATCTTTTTATTTGAATCCTTTAAGGTACCTCAAGCTCAACAAGTTTAAAACTGATTTCATCATTTTTTTTACCCCTTACCAAACCCTGCTTTTTCTCCTTTGCTCCCTAATCATCGTATAAGTGGTATATGTGTGTATTTACCTAAGTTGGTAATGTGGGCATCACTGTGGGTCTTGTTTTCCTCATTTTCTAAACTTAATTATTAACTTTACCCCCCACCCTGTTGGGTCTATCTCTTTAAAATATGTTGAACCAGTTTTGTATTCTCCATTCACTTTAGTTCAGTTTTTCTTAATTTCTTGGTCTCTTGTTCTCCATGTATACCTATCTGCAAACCATCATCCACACCTTTTAATAGCTTCAGATCCTTCCTTATTATTAAGGCATGCAGAGTCCTCCATGATTTATATGGTTTTTGACTACTTCTTCACTCTCTCCTTTCATCGCCTTCTCATTCGTATGCTGAGTTTTAGCTATAGTGGGACTATTTATAATCACTCTCACATAGTCCCATTCCTCTCTGCTTTTGTACATGCTGTTCCCTCTATTCTGAATGCCTTATCTTGTCTGCTTGGGGAACTCTTACCTATCCTTTAGAACTCAGCTCATTTCTTCCCCAATGTTCTGTCCAGGCAGAATTAGTTGCTCTCACCTCTGTGTGCCAACTGTTTTGCATAGCTCTATCATTACATCTATCACATTATTGGGTGCATTTTTCATTACTTCTCTATCTTCCCCATTAGAGCATGAGCTCCTTGAAGGCAGGCACTCTGTCTTACTCCTTTCTTCATTTTAGTGTCAAGCCCTGTGGCTCAGTCATTGTAAGTGCTCAGTAAATGTTGAAAAGAGGCTTTGAGTTTCTTGTAGTTTCCCTATCCAAATTCCAGTGATTTTTCAGACTGTTAAGCCTAGGCAGGTAATCCAAGGAACAGGCCCTACTGTGCTAAATAAATAGCCAAAGTCTGCTCAGAATGAGCCAGGGCAGGTAAAGCATCCACATTGTGAGAGGCATACCAATGTGTCAGACTGAAGTAACCGACAGCAAATGAATGAATGCAGTTATCTTGTACAGTCTTATTTATTCTCCCACAACCTCTGCTATCTATCTCCTCAATTGCCTGTTATTCTCCCTAAACATTTCCTAAAATGCCGTCCTCAGTTTACTTCCAATATTTGGTCCCATAGTCCTACAATGGAAATTACTGGTTACTCTGAAATAGGAACATTGTTGGCAAAAATAAATAAGAGGGTAAAACATGCACAACACCATGGCACTAAATGTGTACCTGGAAGGGGCCTTCCAGAAAACAGAACTCCCATACATCGTATACACTTGTGATTTCATAGCTAATATTTTTACTTTCCCTCCCAAAGTGATTCCTGGCTACTTGTTTCAACATATGATCTTCAGGAGCAGTTATGAGTTTATGCCCCAACAAATTGGTCTTTTATTTCAGAACTATTAGATATCTTAAAGATAACTACTTTATTAATTTTACTAATAACTTTGTTAGGCAGTAAAATTTTTCTTAAGATTTAGAATAGTTAATTAAGTAAGATTAATAGGACTGAATCTCATTTCCCCAAAACATTTAATTGCAGTGTGATCGATACTGTAATTTAAATGAATTGGGAGAAAGTGAATGAGAACTGGAATGACAGTTGTACAACATCAGTGAAAAGAAATCTCCTGATGATCACTAACTGAATATCCTACCAATGAGACTATGATAGGCACTCTAATAAATGAAAAAAAACAACTGTTTAGCATGTCAGTATTTCAGCCATGCACTATAGGGTATATCATTCAAAAATATTTCCAATTATTGTCTTGGAAATATCATATTTGCTATTAACATCTATTTTCCCAGGTAGATCTCTTTTTTTATATCAATGTAACGGTATAGTTAACAATTACCTTCAAAATGACATGTTATTACCAGGCTCCTGGCAATTTAAAAACGAAAGATGGCTATTTTAAACCATTCTTCTAAGCCTGCAATTCTAAACCTCCCCTTTTCTATTAGAAAGCCCAGCACTCCATCAAAGAAGAAGAATGATTAAAGGAAATAAAACATAAGGCAATGTACTTTCTGATTACATCTCAAGAATTGATGTCTTGCTTTCATGCAAGGTACTAAAGTGCCCGTGTACTGAAATTACCATTCCTGTTTAAAGCTGAAGCAATCAAAACAAAAATGGGCAAACCCCTTTTGTATTGCCCTGGAAGAATAGATCATTTTGAAGGGTGTCTTTGTTGTTTCAAGAATCTGTTTAACCTTCCATTACATAGAACCAGGGCATACCATCTAGCAACAATGATTTAACACCAATTCTTCTGCAAAAGGTTGCTTTGAAAATATTTTGTTTATGTTCCTGGAAATCTTGATCAATTACGGCTGCCTCCCGTCCAGCTTGTTCTGCTATACATGCTCATTTTGAAAACAGAATCAAATGAACCTAGGATATCACACATTATTTACACGAAGGCCAACTTCCTGCTAAGGATTGGGTGTGTTGTTCCTAGTTGTTTCCAACTAGGAAACCACACTGGGTGGATCAAATTGCACATTTTCTCTCCTAAGTTTCTCTTTTCTCTGCCCCCAAAGCCAAGTCTGTTGTGTAATAAGTTAAGCATACTTTTAAACACACTACTCATAGCCTCCTGCTACTTTGCTCAGAACTTCTTTTGAAGCTTATAAATAAGTTTGAAATAAAAATTCCCTCTGGAAGCCAGTGGGTGGTGCTTTACGCTGATTTCAAAGAAGAAACCATTTTTCAGACTTATGAACAACAAGAGACACAATACATATTTCTCTTAGGACTTGACTGAGAGGATATAAACACAAACTGGGAGATATGCCAGTGTGATCAATGGAAATTTACTTCCCCTCCCAGTAAAACCATTTGTTGACACACCGCTGGTCTATCTTGGAGGCCAAGTTAAAGAAAATCCTTCATCCATTTCAGACAGATGACAAGACCCAATTAGTACCCTGGATTGTTCTTTGGAATAATTTTAACACTCAACTGCAGGGAACACTAGAGGATCCGTTTGGTATGAAGATCTATAACGAACAGCTCACGCTGCAATAAATGGATTCATGTACACATTTTTATTTCACACAATTTTAAAGAACTGATTTACCTTAAAAGGAATCTCTGTAATTATTGAGAAGATGTACTTTGAAGGAATAATATTTAAAAACACAAGTTCCTGATTCTTTATTTCAGTGAAAGTAGGAACCATCTCTCTCTATATATATGTATCAGGCATAATATTTGGAAATAATTCTCCACAACCAATGGTTAATTGTCAGGTAAATATAATTGCGGCAACGAAAATGACAAATGGGCTGAAAACACTGCCTACTAGAAACTACCCACTGCTTAATGATTGCAGAGCCAAAGAAAAACTCGAGAATTGAATGACAGCAGACATCCAATCTAATTACAGGTGTCTTTTTAACCAGTGAGAGAAAACTGGGGGAAGATAGATTCTTGTTTCTAATCTGCTATCTGTCTCAGATCAAAAAAGCAGGGTGCCTAAAGAGTTAGGCTTTTTCCAGAAAGAAGTGGAGTGGGGGAATTTGAAGAAAAGACGCTCTTGCCTTAATCAGCCAGAAAAGACTGTCTGACCTGAGGGGGAAAGAGCATTGCTTTCTAAATTGGTCTTCCCAAAGCTGCTCC